TACTTTTGTTGGCAAATTATCACATTAAATGCCACATAGTTATAATATTTATTATTTTATTGATTATTGTATTTATATTATAATTTTATTGGTAATTATTGCAAAATACTATATTAGGTATATATAGTATAAATATATAATTCCAAGCGTATGAATTTTTTTCTATAATTTTATATATTATTTTATCTCTCTTATTTTACGGGCTATATATTGTGATCGTGGTAAATTAACATGTGATGGCAACTGGTATATTCGGTTGGGGGCAACTGGCACACTTGGTTGAGGGCAACTGGTACATTTGGCTGCGGGTAACTGGTATATCCTTAAAATCCCGGTAACAGCCGTGGGGGAGGCAACTGGTCAACACCCTTCCTGATCAAAGAAGACAACATTCCCGCACTGCAATGGAGATTAGGTGTCGTAAGCACACACAACAAGGTGATGGTGGGATAATACGGATAGTGCAAGTCAAAACAGTCGAGGGTCTGTATAAATGGGCAATTATGTCCTCTGCCTTTTGAAGGCAATAACACAGAGTAAAATGATAACACGTAAAAAAAAAAATGTATGTTTATATATTTTTTTTTAATTTGTTTTTGGTCACAAAAAAAATGATTTCAATTGTTTATTAATTAATTGTATGTACATCCTGTTGAAAATGTTTTTTTTTTTAGGCGGGTGGTCTGTTGGTTGACGGTTTATTTATTGTATTTAGATTGCAGATTCTCTACATCGTGATTGTATTATTTCGATAGGCGAGCGATTAGTGATAAAGAGAATCGACCCTCGCCGCCGTATCATCGTAGCGTCCCTATAGTATCGAAAAACCAGTCTATTACGAGCGCTCCGACATGACCGACAAGTACCGTCCGTTTTGTGACAAGTTGAATTAAATAATATGTGTCACTTTTTTCTTTACGTTAAAAAAAATTTGCGATACAGTCCACATAATAAAATAGTTTTCATTCGTATACAAAAATGTACAAAACAATACTAATTATACTATACCTATGTAATTATAATCTAATATTCTATGGTTGATAACATAATAACATACGATCTATGGTGCTATGCAATAAAAATGAAGTTTTATATTTGCATTCGGTTCTATATTATATACGTACCTGATGGTTTCGTTTTTGGAATCAAACCGTTTACTATTTTGATTATAATGTAATATCTTGCAACTCTTCGTCACGATGAAACCACCCTACACTCGTACGGCCTCTCGATTTTGGCGACATTGCTTTATTATTTGACGTGTCCTTGTAGGACCTAGAGGTAGTCGAGAACATTCAACGATAAAAGATCGAAGCGTCGAAACACTACATTATTATAATTTAAAATACCTATATTACAGCTGTGATAATATTATTATACAATGGAAACGTTACCGCCCGAGGTGTGTATATTAAACATATTATATTATAAAATGCTTAATAGGTAAGGCTTGGAACTTAATTCACTTAAAAAGTACTAAATATGCACGCCCTAAATAATGTGATAACAATAGTAAAAATATGGACTTATTTTCTTCTCCTCACAAATTTCATAAATACAGATATTTTACCAAAAAATATATTTTTTATGTTTTATAATTTGTTCCTAATTAATATTTATTAGTAAAAACTGGAAATTATGTGTTAACTAGGTATTTTAAAAACACGTTACAATCAGTGGCGTGCCCAGGAAATTTCAATGGGGGGGATATATGTTATAAATGTTTTGGTAAAAGTACATTTAAATTAATATAAAATAATTAAATAAGTTGAAGTCAATAAAAAAAAGTGAATGGGGGGGATATAACCCCTAACCTCCCCCCCCCTTGGGCACGCCACTGGTTACAATAATACCTATAGTAAAGACTCTCAAAATAGATATACCTAGCTAGATTTTAACATATTTTTTTTTACAATCGAATTTTCAAATGTTATTATTAAATTTATAAACATATAATTTTAACTTTAACCATCAAATAATATACTCTAAAAAAAAAAATAAAATTGAGAAATGTGCTATATAACTACAAAATCATTAAATACAATAATATGAATTATTAACTTTTAATATTTTTTTCGTAGGATTTTGAAATTAATTTTAATCTTACTTAGCATAATAAATCTAATAGGCAATAGCCAACCAAAACAACATGGAAATGCAACGACTTCTACCATTTGTCTAGTCGAACGGTTTTTTTTTAGTCCCTTCTTGATCTGTTAGACTAAATATAAGTTTCACGAAAGGCTAATAAATATATGGTTTATTATTTTCCTGATATTACCACCTTATCAGTGAAGTAGCCAGGGGAGTCGGGTGTTTAAGCCATTGCCTATTTTCCCCCTAATAAATGCATTATTTATACACGAAAACTGTACAAAAAAACAGTTTAATTTATACCTTACCCCTCTCCTTTTTATAAAACTAGCTGCGCCACTGCTCCTTATATATATATAATATAAGTATGTAGTTACCAATTATTTTCTTTGTCATATATAACCTTACCAGTACTATGATTTTCGGCTCCTGTTTTTGTCTACTTGGATTGAGAAAAAATGAATACTAATATTTAATATTTTCGTACTTATAATATTTGGCTTGGTCATGTTCCTATATCTATAGCTCAATCGACAAATGTCTCTGGTATCGACCCAAATACTGATTATCATATATATATAAATGTATTATTATTATTGATAATAATTAATATTATGCATCGATCTTCAGTTTACGATCGAATCCCCGTGCAGCAATAGGTACTTTCGTTCTCTTGACTTTTGCAGATAATCACTGAAATCCTGGAATACCTGTCGTTTGACGACCGGCGGCGGGTGGCCTTGGTCAACAAGACGTTCCGGTACGCATCCCTGCACCCGGTGCTGTTGCGACGAGAGCTGTTCGTGTACACCGCTCCTGTTCAGCGGCTGCGGGTAGACGACCGGCGACGGCGATTCAAGGACTTCAAAACGACGGCGTTGCGGGAGCCCTGGAGAAAACTGATCTGTCTGAAATTCCACGGCTCGAACCGCTCGGACTTCGGCAAGGCGTTCGGCAACGTCGGTGGCTGGCCACCGTCCGTCGTGTCGCTGCACCTGGACAGCCTGAACTGGTTGGCCGACTCGTTTCTGGACGCGATCACCGGCAGTTGCGTCAGACTAGAGGAACTGCGGCTGGAGAACATCGGACGGCTGTGCTTCGCCGACAAACCCCGGCGGCCGATGCTCGTGTTGCGCAGCGTGCGCTTCGACAAGGTGGGCGTGTCGGATGAGTGTTTCAACGTGCTCATGGCTTGCGCCCCAAACGTGACAGACGTTGGCATCAACAACTGTCAGACGTACGATTGGCTGGACCCTGTGCACGCGGCTGTGGCCGGAATTTCCAACGTCGGGCTGTCGGACTCCAACATTATTGGGTACTTACAGAGCACCGCGGCCGGCACCGTGGACAGCCTGCGGTTGAATCTGTGCTGCCACATATTTGGCGAGATACGGTCCAGGTCACTTCGGCTCAAGTCCCTGCTGTTGAGCCAGAACAAACCATATTTGAACACGCGCAGAATGATCAATTACGAAAAACTCGAATCGGCATTAGCCTTACAAGTGAGACAATCAATAATAATACCATTTATTATTGAGATACATTACAACATACAACACAGTCATTTGATATTTTCATCTAGCTTTTAAAAATAAAATAAATTGTCAACATTTTAATAATATTTAATAAACTTATTTATTACATTTTGATATACAATACATTGCACAACATATTAAAATCGATCACGCAGGTGTCGCTGCAATGGTTGGAGATCAATCACCTCCCGGCACGTCTAGTCGGGGCCGTGTCCAGGCTGCACAATCTCCGGCACTTGACTTTGAACTTAACAATCGGACACGCCGACATGGAATGTCTGCGCGAGTTCGTGGAATCGTTGCGCGACATGAAGCGTATCAGGACTTTGGCCGTTAATCGAGTAGTCGAGACATCGATGGACGTCGGGCTCAACGCGGTACTTCAGACGTTCGCGATACCAGAATGCGCATTCGAATCACTAACGTCGTTGGACTGTTCGTTGGACAGCAGCCTGTGCGTGCTGCGTACCGGGAAACGGTTGTCCAGCTTACGCATCCGGAACGGCGACATTCTGTCGGCCGGTGATTTGCAACTGTTGTTCGAAAACCTCATCGGTTTGAGACATCTGTGGATCGACAACTGTCTTTGTCTCGACGACGACATTATGTCCGGCTTGCCGGTTTCTAATCTCAAAGGTATTTCTATAAAGTATTTTACTGCAGGTAACATCAGAGCAATGTCGGATTGAGCATTTGTGCATATACCTATTATTATAGGCACTATATTATATTATGTACCGCACTGTCACATCCCTAACAGCACTATATAGAATTATATTATCTAAATATTATTATCTTAATAAATTATTATTTCAAGTTGATTGTGTGGCACAAATAAACCATCCATTTATTCGTGTGGCCTATAATATCCGACATAATGTTACACCAGCGGTTCCCGAATTTAGAGTCTGCTCGGGGGTGGGGCAGGGGGTATATAGTGATGACGGAATTACGAAAATAATTATGCTATTTTACAAAGTGTAAAATTGAAATCACTATATTAGTTAAAAGATTATCGGGCCTCGATAACAATTATATATTAGGTACTTATAACGATAGAGTCGATAGACCGGGATATTATTTATACTTTATGTTAATATATTCAATATTTTTTTCTTATACTTAATATTTTTACTTCGTACCTAAGTTGATTTATAATACATTTTTTAAATTATGAAAACAATAAAAGTAAATATTTGTATATTATATTATATATAGTTATTTTAAATGTTTTATTTGTACCACTCACAAAAAAAAAAATATTCCCAAACTTTAATTTAAGGGTGGGAGGTAACGAGATTTTAGTAAATTTACAGGGGGCGTAGAATGAAAAAGGTTAGGAACCGCTGTGTTACACAGTCCTCACTCCTCATATAACATGTAAGTTTTCGATTAGTCCTATGCTAAATATAGGCTTTGGTGGACGTAAAGTTCTCGGGACTTAGCCACTATACTGTCTATACCAGAGGTTCCCAAACTTCTTATTGTGCGACCCATTTTGAATTTTTTTTTAAATATAGCGACCCACAATATCAATGAATG